TTTTTTTTTTTTTTTTTTTTTTAAAAAAAAAAAAAAAAAAAAAAATATATATATATATATATATATATATATATATGTCTTTAAAATAATAATGTTATTAATGAAATAAAAATAAAATAGAAAATAACTTTGGTTTTAATTGTTTAGAAATAGAAATCTAAAAAGTGTGGGGTGCATTTCTGTAACACTCAATGCTGACACCACTTCATAAGATATATAGTGTAAAGAGAGTTTACCTGTTTGTAATTCATTCTCTGACAAAGTGATGGAAGATTAAAAAAATTATTTATATGGATGACACACGATACTGTGCGTATAAAAGAATATTCAAGATTACTGCGTAATCTTGAATATTCTTTTACTTCTATAGGACACAGTAGTAGCAGCATGCTGGGGAGACTGCCAGGACTGCAGTGGAATGATCTAAGTCAGGGTTTCTTAATTTTTATCTGTGCTGCCGCATCTAAATGAAATGGCTGAATCACCTTTTTAGCATGCAGTCGAGTTCTGAAAATGACCTTATTTAACACATTAATTTTGATTAGTGAATTTATTCTATACATTCTAACGTGTTAAATTAACACAATTAATTGATTAATTTTAGATACTAAAGTCCCTTGCTTGAACCTTTGTATTCTTTGTTTTTTGTACACCTGGAAATCTGACAAAAAAGCTGCATCTCAAGCGTTGGTCTACTGGGGGTATTCAAACTCAAAAACCATCTCAGTGCTACGGAGGCTACACATTGACTGTTGTCCTGTGTTCAATTCAATTTAGCTTATTTATATAGCACCAATTCACAACACACGTCATCTCAAGGCACTTTACAGAGCCATTTCAATCAGATCATACAGTCAGATTAATTCACAGTTTTCTATCCGAGGAAAACCAGCTCATTACATCGACTCATTCAAGGCAATCTTTCACCCCAAGCATGCTTGAGGCTACAGTGGGGAGGAAAACAGGATGAAACCTCAAAATAGATTTCTCAAAACACTTAATAAAAACAAAACTGCAGTTAACAGTGTCAGCTTCTAAGGCTGGAACCTCTGCAGGAGGAGACAACAGGTTAGTGGCCACATAATGAATGTGTGCATCACTAACTTTATTTTATAGTTCAGTCCGAGCCCTGGGGGTGGGGTTGATTCCAGCCAAACAGAAATTTAATTGTTTTGTCCGCCTTAAATGACTGGATCCTTGTGTTCTGAGCTTGACAAAGGTATATTTAAATTTTTTTCATGATCTGATAATTGTCCTTAGTAGAAATTTTACTATAAGAATTACATTACAAATGTAAATGATAATCTTCAGTGCATGTTTATAGCATTTTTAAAGCTTGCATTTTTTTTTATGGGGGCCCAAATATCAATGTCTTTCATGGGGTCCTGAATTCCTGGTAGCGGGCCTGATCTCTGGTGAGTGTGATTTTATTTTTTGTGCTTTAAACGCTATTTCATCTGGTAATTAGATGCATATGGAGAGCTGTGGTTATAGAGTAGCAAACCCCTAGTGTTCCGCGAGTGCATTGCAAGGGGGCCGGGATCGACCTGTTTTGCTTTGTTAGAGCCCCAATGAAAAATTAATCAAGCTTCTATCAACCAAAAAGTATGTTTTTTTCTTATATGTTTGAGTTAAACAAAACCAGGTAGAGGAATATGGAAAAAAAGCACAACCTGGGATCAGCCGTTCTTCACACTGAGCTATTGGAGCTCATCAAAGCAGCTCAGGTGTCTTGACATTTTGTGTCTTGAATTTTTG